TCTCTAAGACGTTTCCTGTCAGATGTCAAATAGACATTTATTAGAATGCATGTAAAACTGCTTCTGAGACGTTTATCAGATTACACAGCAGATGTTTCCCAGATCTTTAGCAGACGTCTTACAGATGTACTTGTGCTATCTAGGTAGTTGAGATGCAGATAAAATTAACTTTTATTACTGTCATTCAAAATGTCTAAATATAATTTAATAAATACAAAAAATATATATTAGAAATGGCTATTAAGCCTATAAGTACTTCTCTGCAGCATCTACTAGTGGTAATTTAATGTATTTTTTATTTTTAAATAAGTGTTTGCTTTGCTACATTATGAAATTTTTAGTTTTATAAATGGGGGCAACCTATGAAGGATGAACAAATAATGTCATCACATTAAGAATAACTTTCAAATTCGGTAATAGCTTTGAAGTGCTGGGAAAAGTTTGAAGCATTTAAAAACACTTGAAAACATTAGAACATTTCTGCCACAAGTTGTTCCTGTAGTTTTACTATGTTAAATCCATGGTGAATGATGGTGATTTGTGTTTAATCTGGTTTCCACTTTAGTGGCATTTGTTCTGATATCTGTAGCTTTAACAGAATTCTGCGCCGAATTTGAATGCTTCTCACAAGATTTCACAGAGATGTTATTGTTTCTGCTGTGAATTTGACTGCTTTCTTCACTGTTTCTCCCAGCGCTGTGTATAAAGGTGTCGCATGATCGAGATCAGCCCGCGGCTCTGGTCTGCGTTGCGTAGCCCAAACTAGCGCGAATTCGTTCTGCTTTCGGTTCGTTTGTCCAATGTAGCTCTTGTAAATCGGTCATGATGAGAACGCAAGGCTGTTCATTCCATTTTTGGAACCTTTCTTTGACTGAATGCGCATTGCGATGACGTCACAGGACGCATCTAAGCCCAAAATCTGCGGAAAATCTGCAGCAATTACGAAAATTTGTGAGCTCTTGCGAAAATTGCAGAGTTTGCTTGATTTTGCGATAAATTCAGCTATCGCAGAATCGCAATATAATAGTTACTAGTCACTATTACAATAAGTAATAGTATTTAATGAATAAGTACTAGTATCTACTAATAATAAGTACTAGTATTTAATGAATAAGTACTAGTATCTAATGAAAAAGTACTAGTACCTAATAAATAAGTACTAGTATCTAATAAATAAGTACTAGTACCTTATAAATAAGTACTAGTATCTAATGAATAAGTACTAGTATCTAATAAATAAGTACTAGTATCTAATAAATAAGTACTAGTATCTAATGAATAAGTACTAGTATCTAATGAATAAGTACTAGTGTCTACTAATAATAAGTACTAGTATCTAATGAAAAAGTATGACAGAATTGAAAGACAGATGACAGAATTTTCATTTTTGGTGAGTTTGTTTTATTTGTATATTATGTGTATTTGTAATGTATATCTTTGTTCTTATTTTCTAATAACAAAGATAAAATATTTTTATATTTTACAAATAAATATTACTTTGCTCACTTTGGCCTAAATGTCTGCCATTGTTTTTTATTTTATATTTTGTTAAGGTGTAAGAGGTGTTACGTTTCTGCACTC